TCTCAAGCATCCTCCGAATGATCCATACTGCAGAATCTCACATCCGACTCTCCTGATTCCGCACATTCATCGTTAGCAGACCAGGAAGCAGAAGAAAAGGACTCCCCATTTCCTGGAGCATTTGACATTTCCCTACCTCGCATTTTTTGTTACTGTAGACACTCTTTCTACGGAGCCTTGCTTAACCCTGTCCCGCAAGCCTTCTCCAGAAAGACAATCCCTTTCTCCCCCATGCCTTTATACCTACACCCATCCCTTCACCGCACAAACACATAGTCAATCTTCTGCTTACAGTTCTGAATCTTGCGCTTGTTACCTTACCTACCATAGTTGTTCCGTGTCCTTCCGCACCTCTTCCTATTACCAACTGTCAACCCGCACTAACCTCCAAGATGTCTTCAGTTTTTATGATGCCACTCAGGAGAGCAGAATCCGCACCCAAGTTCGATGGCATGCCAGTGCGCTTAGTTCCTTATTTTGAGGAAATCGAAATTTTGGCCGGATATGCATCCCTTGATGCTACTCAAACCATCAAAGCCACACTCAGATATGCGCCCACCAGTGATATGGGTACTACTATCTTCAGCGGCCAGGCAAGATTGGGACAAGTTTGTAAATGAAGTAAAAGTGATGTACCCAGGATGCAAAAGCGACCGCCGCTTTTCACGTGCTGACCTAGAAAATCTTTCCAGCGAGAATGCGTGCATACCTATGTGTTCGCATGAAGAACTCGGACAGTACTACTGAGAGTTTTTCAAGATCTCACAGCACCTCATAACCAACAAATGGTTAGCGGACCTCAAACACGACCACCTGTTTTTAGAAGGAATACATGCTACAGCCAATATGTCTATCAAGTGAAGACTAGAGATCCAGCTAACCTCGCACCATCCGGAGGACCCCTATGCACTTTCAGACATGTATGTGGCCGATATCTTTCTACTACCTAGCATCACTTCAACCATGGTTCCGCTACCAACCTCGACACCGCACGCAACGACTTCGTCTCTGGCCTACCTGCTGTGAACTATGCAGAGCGCACCAGTTCAACAACCTAGTCAAGGTGTGGTGGTCAAACAAGAGTACAACCTGCGACAGAACAATGGCTGTTACTTCTGCAGCAGAGACCATTTTGCCCGTGAATGCCAAATCCGCAAAGACTACATACTTGAAGGAAAGGTAAAGCGGAACAAAGAAGGAAAGCTTGTAATGCCCGACGGCCACAGTATTTCATACAGAAGGGAGGATGGTAACTTTCAACAATGCATAGATCATTTCAGATGCGAAGGACCCACTTTGGGTGCCAATGCAACAGTTTTAGGTAGTATGTTTGTCCATGCTCTGCCATCAGTGGAATCTGCGCTGGGTACCAACTCACCCGTGTTTATGCATACCTGCGCGAGCCACGGAGAAGAAGATCAAGACACGGAAGATGAAGAACTCAAGCACTTAGAACAGGAAGTAGTCAAGGTGTGGGAAGCATTTGTCGCAGTCAAGGCAGATTGAGCAACCCGCCAAGCAGACAAAGGTAAAAATGTATGGTTTGATGGAGTAGAACTACCCATGCACGCTAAACCAGGGCCTTCATCTAAGACGACTGATATGGTCGAAGAAGTAATTTCCCCACAGGTAAAGGCTTCTGGATCCAAGGCAGCCAACCCACCTACAATATCAAAACCCACGGCTGCAGTAAGCGTGCCTAGTACCTCATCCTCATCTTTGGCAACTGCAACTTCGTCGGCATCCCAGCCTGCCAACCCCTCTTCGACCCAATACCGGTATTCCTTCCCATTGGAAGACAAGGATGCAGATAAGTGTGTGGTAGATCACATGCTTGATTCAAATATCAGCATACCAATGCGCGATCTCTTCGCTGTGTCCACTGACATCTGGAAGGTGTTCAAAGACATGACAACAACGAAGCACATCACCATTGGCACGCTCTCAGTCAATGAATTGTCAAGTACACCGGAGGCCAAGGACATTCTGCGGTGTTACAACGGATGTCTGTGAAGGAGTGATGACAGTCGCATAGTCGCAGAACACTTCGAATCGCTACATTGCATGAAGGTGGTAACCCACCAAAGCCAGGTTCTTACCTGTGTGCTTGACCAAGGCGCAGAATGCATTGTGATGCCGCGGTCGGTTTGGCAATCACTTGGCGGAATCCCACTCTGGCCTGATCATAAACTGGTAATGAAATCTGTAAATATCTTGCGCGATAAAACATTTGGCGTTATTGAGAATATACTGCTAGACTTTGGCATGGGCGAGATGCTATTCCGGGTACAGGTGGTCCTGCATGCTAACTTCGAAATTCTTTTAGGACAGCCATTCTTTATGTTGACCAGTTGCATGACAGAGGATCTGCCAAGTGGGGAACAAGATATTACCCTTATGGACCCGAACACGGCTAAGGTTATCCGCATACCTACTGATCATTCATTGAAGAAATGCCCGGGGTGCGAGAGTGGCATGCATAGCCCTCCGAACCCGCGTAAGAAGGGTTTTTAGGGATCGATAATCCACATGACCCATGGGGAGACACAAGGACTAATTCTCTTCCACTTACCCCTTTGAATACCTTGGAATATATTTTACCTATCACTAACCCTAGTCTCGCACTATCTGCGCACCAATCTCTTTCTCTAAGCACTAATACCTCGTTTCCTCATCCTGACTCACATTACTCCACGGACTATATTTGTCTTGTTTCTACCTGTTCCAATATTAACTGCGCATCCCTCGATGCATTCTCTAGTGTATATTCCTTTGATGAGACCCAACGCGCGCTGGCATACAAACCAGTTGCGAAGAAGGTTCGCACAGTACAAACCTCTATGCCCACGGAATATAGAATCATACAGCACTTACCCGACGATCCTTTGGCCGGCATCCCTACACTGCCAACCCATCCACCCGACTTTGTTCTGGGTGTCCGCTTTACTCAAGAACGCGTGGACAACTTAGACCTAGACCCCGCTAATTGGTTATGGCCAGAAGAGCTTAAACTAGTACACTGGCTCATTTGGGTTCATGAATTAGCATTCGCATGGGACGCGACCAAGCGTGGACGTCTCGATGAAACCTATTTTTCCCCGTACAAGATCCCTACCATTCCTCACGTCTCCTGGTCATAACATAACATTCCTATTCCACCCGCAATTCATGGACAAGTCATCCACATCATCAAAGAGAAAATCCATTCCAGAGTATATGAACCTTCAACCGTGGCCTACCATTCCAGCTGGTTTTGCGTAGTCACGAAGGACAAAACATCATTGCGCTTAGTACCCAACCTCCAGTTGCTAAACAAAGTAACCATCCAAGATTTGTCCCTCCCTCCGCTTGTTGAACATTTAGCAGCGCTCTTCGCTGGATCATGCGCAGTATTCGATCTCCTCAATCTATACGCTGGATATGATCAGCGCATGCTGCACATTGATTTGTGCGATCTCACTACCTTTGGAACACCACTGGGTCTGCACTGGCTAACTATGCTTCCGCAGGGTCACGTGAATGCAGTTCAAGTATATCAAGGCGACACCGCATTCATTTTGCAAGACGAAATCCCTGACCATATGTTTCTGTTCATAGATGATGTTCCCATCAAATCGGTAAAAACCTGGTATCAACAAGCTGATGGCTCATATGAAACCATCGCAGAAAACCCTGGCATTCACCGATAAGCATACCGGAGCTGACAGACTCTCAAGGAGACTGTGCGTTGATGATGACCTGTCTGAAGACGATGATCACGAGGATTGGCTTGACCGCTCGTACTCCCTTGCAGTAAAAATCCTGAACAATAGGGTATACACCATCAAATCCGTTGGAGTTGATATTACCCGTGTTCCGCAACTCATACCCATACCATCAATGCTAACCCACTCACCATGTATCATTGAATGCTTAGGTTCCACTCCGCAAACTAGCGAACCATGCATTCCTTGCTCCGACACCACACATGAACAGGATGCAAGGCTAACCAAAGTAAAGAGCTTCCTGGATAACCGGAAAAGACCCGCAGATCTGTCAGATGAGAGTTTTGAAACCTTCGTTTCATATGTGGTGAAATTCTTCATATTTGACAATAATCTATGGAGAAAGCACTCTCAAGGTAAACATCAGTTGGTAGTACCGGAAGCGCGGCACTTTCAAATTATCAAACAAGTGCATAATGATCTTGGACACAAGGGAGTATTTAGCATCCGAACCCGTCTTTTCTTATGTTTTTGGTGGCTGATGATTACTGACGATATCAAGTGGTATAACCGGACATGTCACAAATGCCAGATCCAAAATTTGCGAAAGCTCAAGATACCTCTGACCGTGCCCATTCTGGGCAGAATTTTCAGGAAAGCACACCTTGATTGCATGATGATGCCCAAAGCGGGCGGATTCAATCACATAGTTCAAGCACATTGCACACTCATGGGATACCCAGAATGGCACATGTTGTGGAAAGAAAATGCTATATCTCTAGGCGCGTTCATTTTCGAGGAAATCCTTTGCAGATGGGGACCTGTGACCGAAATTGTTACTGACAACAGGCCTGCATTTATAGCGGCCATTGATGAATCAGCTGTGCGCTATCAGATTCATCCTATCCGCATATCACCTTACAATTTACAGGGCAATGGTATAGTAGAAAGGCATCACTATGATGTCTGGGAGGCCATCATGAAAAGTTGTGAGGGGGACGAGTCCCGATGGTACCAATGTGTGCATAAGGTATTTTGGGCCAAACACATAACAATTCATCGCGCAACAGGTCTTCACGGCATGGAGCTAATCTTTCCGTTTGACCTTGTTGAAGGGACATTTCTGGTAGCATTAGGGAACTGCACGGGTAAACCCCTGGGTATTGGAGGCCATACCCGCACCTGCACCCAGCAAAAACCCATACCTGCTCTGATGGGTACAGGTTTTTGGCGGGTACAACAAGCTCAGACCTGTACCCACACCCGTGCAGGGTTTACCCGTGGGTACCATTGGTATCACTGCCAGTGCTTAGCACATATGTCCAGCACAGGAAGGAGTGGAGGCATGGGCAAATTTGCTGGCGCGCGCTGGGTGTTCGTGTGTACGATCGAAGTTAAAGGTGAGCGTGTCGAAATGGGAGATGGTTGCGTGGTGGCGCGAGAGTGTGACATGTTGGGTGTCGCGTCCTCATTGCAGAAAATGGGGGCAGAGTCAGGATGGCGACTTACTGACAAGATCCTTCCTTCCTCCTCTCGTTCCTCCTCTTTTCCTTCTCTCTTCATCCTGGTGTCTTCCGTGTGCGTTCGAGCCACGCCAGCATTCACTGGCATGGTCTGAGCATGTACGCTCGATGCTGGCGAGTCAGTGTGTCGCGTAGGTGCTGGATGGTGCTTGCTGGTGGCATCCGTCAGTGTGCTGCACAGCGACGTAGTGGGTGTTGTCAAACGTGGCGTGGGGGACATGGTGAGTACCGCCAAATGCGAAGGTGTTGGCAGTGATGTGGTGGCGGGTGCTTCTGAAGAGACATGTTGGCGATGTCCACCTTGAGGCGCTGCCTGTCGAGTTTTCTGATTAGCATAGTTTTCTTAGACTAATTAGCAAACTTACTGTTGGTCCTGTAGATCAATACTACTGGTGATTAGCCTGCTTGGAGAGATGTCGGTGTGCAGAGACACGTTGATCCCAGCCTGAATTTCGCGAGCTGTAGATGTATGGCAGCCTGTGTAATGGCTACCATAAATTAGTTTGTGAACTGTAGAACAAAAGGACACGACTCACAAGCAAAACGGCTCTCAAACGGATTGCGTTGAGAGTTATCATTTTTCCAAGCTTGATGCATTGCCAGCAGGAAGTCTGAGTGCTTCTTGGTGGTGCCGGTTGTAGCGTGCACGCGGGAAGTATGACATTTATGGAAGGCACGGTATAGCTGGGGTACGGGTAAGAGTGCGGGTCTTAGAATCCCGACCCATACCCATACCCCAGTAGTACCCGTACCTGTGACCCTTGCGGGTTACCCGTACCCATGCAGATCCCTAGGTAGCATTACCCGGACAAAGCGAGTTTACTACGACGGACCTTATTGCATGGCGTGCGCATCAACTCCAGAAGCGCCAAGAAGACCTCAATGATATCAAGAAAAAAGTATTGAAGGCTAGGTATAAGTCAATCTGAAATTTTGAAGAACACTTCCACGACTCGATTAAGGATTATGACTTTGATCCGGGTGCCTTAGTGCTAGTGTGCAACTCCAGAATTGAGTATGAGCTAAATCAAAAGACGAAGCTGTGGTATCTCGGGCCCATGGTAGTATTGCATTGCACAAAAGGTGGGTCATATGTCCTAGTGGAAGTAGATGGATCTGTGTCCAAACTTCACTACGCGGCTTTCCACTTGATTCCTTATTTTCTGCGCAGTGAAACTAAACTATCAGTCCCACGAATCACAGGTTTAGGCAATGAAGCACTGAACGATATTGCTGCAGAAGACATAGAAGAACCCGAGGACGAAGAGATCAAGTACGACACCTGAACCTGCGCATTCTTTATCACCCGCACCCTTAAACCACTCCAATCGCTTCCATTTCTGGTCATAAAAACAAAGACCTAGTACAATAGCCTCAGTTTAACCCTGGGATTCGACTGGTGTTCTCATTTTCCTTTCCACTACTCATATAGTATGTTACATGCATTCCACACATAGACTTTTATTTATATCACAAAGCACAGACATTGTTCAAAGGACTGGACTATACCGCGCATTCACTGATTACCATACATTTCCCTTCGAATGTGTAGGCAGCGCACCATGCCCTTCTTGATATGAGAAATCCAAATACGCATAACTGCATCCACAAGAGAAGAGGTTAGAAAACACACGCTGAAGAAGACAAGACGAGTGGTATCTCACAAACTCTAGTACCATTTATCCAATTCACCTTCTAATGCGCACGCGCTCATTTTATCTTACTCATCTCTTAGGCACATAGCAGAGCTAGGACTGGTCATTTGAAATTGGACATGGACATTGGACTCAAGACTTAGGATCATAACCGTGCTACAACTCAAGACAAATATTCATTCAAAGTGCGGTATTGGAATCTATGCTAAATTGTACATGGCGCGCGGGGATTGTAGACAAGGACAGGCAAGGAAAAGTATCTAACCGCGGCAGCACCTCTTCTTGTTGCAGAGGTTGAGCAGGTCCACATCATTCAGAACCTTACCCATCATGGCCTGGATAGTGGCCATTTGCACGTAGACAGAGCGTGTCAGCGCCTCTATCTCCAAGTCCTCCACATCCGCATCCTCCACATCGCCTAAAGCTAGAGCCTCCACCTCTCTTCTCTTCTTGCCGACGGCCGGACGAGCATCCATGGCATCCTCTTCATCGGACAACTCAATGGTACTGCGCGCGCTGTGGATGAGGACCTCTTTGGAAGGTCCAGCAACAGGCATCAACTCTGCGGTAGATGCAGTGCGAGCCTTCGGCTGTGGCAACGGCTTCATCGCACGACCTAGAAAAGGAGTTAGCATAGGGATTATGAAACAAAGGAGAAAGAGGCTTACCTTTGCCTTTGTGCGTGACATACTTACAGCCCTGGCGCGCAAACCTGCAGTTCTGGCAGCCCATACCTTCAGGACCTTGGCAGCAGATGTCCTGCTTAAGGCAGCGCTCGCATTGGTCCTTGTGAACAACAAGCGTTGGGGTGCCACTCATCTGAGGGGTCTTCTAGGAGAAGGTTAAGCAAAGCACAAGGAATCAGTCCACGTTGACAACCATTCATTCATACATATTCATAAAGAATTCCTAGATACTACAATAGACAACATGCCCAGTCGCATAAAGACCTCGCAGAGAGAGGCATGCATCAATCATGGAGCAAGATCTGGTTTAGAGGACATGTGTTCAATGACGATTCGATCAAACAGTTCAATGAAACTGCACATGGCCCCTCAAAGACCTATCACAGCAATCCCTCAGATCAGACCATGACAATATATTCGGCTACTGCCTCAAGGACATCGACAAACTCTCCATTAATGTCAGCATCAAATGGGAAAAGGACAAAGATCAGCCATTCGCAACTTACACTACCTGCATCGGTTTTGTTTGGGACGTCAGCAAACACACAGTCTCTCTAAGCCCGTTGAAAGTTGGTAAGTACTTATTGGCCATTCTCAATTGGCACCAGAGAGCAGTCCATGTCCTCCAGGATGTACATGAGCTTTATGGAAAACTGTTGCATGCATGCCAAGTCATAAGAAGAGGGCGCACTTACCTCACATCACTAGAAGCTATGCTAAGTGTCTGCACAAAGAAGCCTCAATTACCACACTGCCCCTTCAAGAACATCAAGGACAATCTCGATTGGTGGTCGAACACACTGCAAAGTGGAGGTGTCTCCCAGCATATATACCCCATAACCTCTTACTCAGACCCACAAGCTTTCTCAGATGCCAGCTCAAGTATAGGCATAGGCATTATCATCGGAAATTGGTGGAGAGCCTGGAGACTCATTCCCAGTTGCCAAATGCTCAACAGCAAGCATGATATTGGCTGTGCAGAAGCTGTCAGCTTCGAACTGCTCATCAGAACTCTCACCACTTTCCCCAGCTTGGGTAATGCACTCACAGTATATTGAGAGGTTGGTGGAAAGGAAGACACCGTACTAATAGAGAAGTCAACACAGTTTTCCGATACCTACATGAACTCCTCCAACACTTACCCCAGTGTCTTGTGTTCCATCATGTCCCTGGCAGTCACGATGGAGAATCTCTAGGTTCCATGATATTGTACCTGCTTGATCAGTGCAGAAACTGCGACCAAGGTTGGTATTTACTTGTATTGTGTTGCTTGCTCTGACATTGTTTGGACTGGGCATTTCACTCTTGACAATGCATCCAACAATCACACTTCAATGCAGGAGCTTTCAACCCTACTCGGGCAATGTGGGATTGATTTTAATCCTGTTGAAAACAGGATACCGTGTTTCCCACATGTCATAAACATATGTGTAAAGCACATCATCGACGAATACGCTGTTACTGACTTCTCCATTGTGGATGATACATGAACAGTCGAAAATCAGATCATCAAGAAAGTAGATTATATCCGGGCATTGCAAGCTAAGCCTCTTGAGCAAGCCAGGAACATCGTGTGATTGATTCACGCATCAAACCAGCAGCACGACAGATTTTGGGACCCCATCCTTAGGGGTAATGAGGAGGGGTGGTTTCAAGATGACAAGGGCGAGCTTACACAGCTCCCAGTCATAGAACTCCTCCTCGATGAACCTACTAGATGGGATTCAGTGTATGTTATGTTAAACTGTTTGCGGACACTCTGCCAGGTGAGATGCCATACCATCAATCATATATCATAGACTAACACTGGCTCAGGCAATGAGCACGTTTTTTGATGCTTGGACTCAGTGCAACATATCTGAGAAAAGATTGAGTGAGATGGATTGGCAGTTTCTCCAGGACCTGGAAGTGATCTTGGAGGTAAGTACTATTGCATTTGAAACACATGATCCATTTAACCATTTCATACCAGGCACCCCATGCCACCCAGCAAAGCTCTCCAGTGAAACCACTCCCTCACTGAGCTATGCCATTCCAGTGTTTGAAGAAATGATCAAGAGCTGGGAATCTATTGGCCTGCACGTTCCTCACTGTAAGCCTATCGTCGACATAGGCTTAACTTGGGCAAGCAAATACACTAATCGGATGGGTGTGACACATGCTTATGCTGTCACTATGTGTTAGTCCTGTGTTTTGTTTTAATAAATGTTGATCTCATGATTACTTATGTAGTTATTGACCCTGTGATGCGGATGTCATGGATGAACAGTCAATGGGAGGAAGACTGTTAATAAAGCCAAGAAGTTTATTGTGAAGCTGGTATGTTTATTTAGTATACAAGCACAACTTTCAACTGATTTGTCTTGCAGATGCATCGCAAGAGAGCAGAACACTCTAATTCTGCATATTCTGGACCTGTAGTGGCTCCACGACCGTTGCCACACATGCTAGGCTCACGTCGCTATGGAATTCCTGAGGCACATGCGCATGCACTGCATCACAACAATGGTGGTCAAACGGTAGACCAGGAGTTCACAGTGTATGTCACGGCTACTCTTAGTCCCCAGGGAACAAGTATACTCGCATTTTGGAATGTGAGTCCATTGCCTCCTTAAGTCACACCATTTGTCATTAACTATGAGTTGCTGACCAGGCTTCACAGACCATGTTCCCAACCATATACTCAATTGCCCTGGACTATGCCCCAGTACAAGCTTCTGCTGTGCCATGTGAGCGGGTATTTTCATCAAGTAGCAAAACCCATACAAAAAAAAGGAATTGCCTCAGCCCCATTTTGATGGAAGCATTACAGATGGTCAAGTTCTTCCTGAAGAAAAAATGTCTTGACTTCACCACAGGTTGGGCGGCCTCTCTACAGGACATGGAACATGAAATAGTATATGACAGAGGTTCTAATGAGCAGTTGACACCTGCTGCCAGCACAAACGACACACTTCTCAGAGCCATTGCGGAGCATGAGTGTGATAACACCGAGGACACTGCTACCATCTACGACAAGTGAGACTTCTTTTTTTCATATCTGACTTTTATTTCTTGCTGTTTGCTGTTTACTATTTACCATTTACCATCTGCCATTTAACTTTCATCTTTTGCCTCTTGTTTGCACTATTTTTGCTCGCTCAATGCTCAACATGTTTCACATGCTTCTGCATGATCAGTTTCAACCTTTCTTTGCAATGCTTGTACCTGAGTGCATTGATCTTTTTTTGAGCTCAGGCCATGCTAATCCTCATTCGAGTGTGTGTCATGCTGATGCACGCTAGTACCTGCCAGAACCACCACCAAAAACTCAGGACTTACTTGAGTAACATCCCACAGATGATCATAACAATAGCGACCTCACTGACAATCACGGCAGCTTCAATCATCATCCTTCTGAAAGTGATGAAGCCTCTGGCAATCACTCATGATTTGATGTGAGCATTTTACTCTCATTGCATCTATGTATTGCGGAATGTGATATTTGTTCATGTAGATCCTTGCTATAAACACTACTGTTCATGGAAACAAGGATGTGGGGTACGTATCCTTGTGACATAGTCATCTGAATTGGCTGACGGAAAAGCTAGAACCTGTCTTGGGACGTATGACACGAGCCAGTCCTACTGGACTCATGTTATTGTGAATAATGCATACAGGTCATGGTTCTGGATGGTGTATGTAATCTCATTTGTCTGGATGTCCACTCTGACAATGATTCTAGGTGCAATCAAGTCAGATGGTACCAGGTTGGCCCTCTGGAAGGCCAGCCCACAATTGTGAGCTGCATCCTCCAACCTATTTATAAGGAGGTACATTTATCGAATTTGAAACACGAGCATTCTTCGAACTCACGCACCAAGTTGAAGAACATCTTTTGTCCTCAATCGTCATCAATGACTTTCACCCTCGATCGTCCTCAAACTTACTGTCCTCTGATCATTTGTCATTGCCCTGCATTGACTCCATCTTTGCGACCCACATGCCAAATCTTAGATATGAATATTGAAGTCGTGAGTATTATGATACATTTGTGTGGCAAAGTACGTTGAAGCAGATCACCGTGTTATTCTTCCCGCCTCCTACCCAACATCCTCAACACCCTACGCAACCATCTCTTCATTGGGGACTCAACATGTTCCTCTGCGACACCTACTCCCGCCTGCATCAATCTGTTCCCTTGTGAACCACTCACACTTGCTCTCACTGCACTCATCCGCCTCATCAACACCTCATCTGCCCGTATCTTAAGGGCATGCTCATAGGAACAATACAGCTTCTTCAGGTTAGCCTTCTGAACACTAAACTCAATGATCTGACTTACATCAACTTGAGGGCCCATTGCAATCACTGATATTGGATGTTTGTTTGATTATTTCACAGTGATATTGAATACTAGTGCGCACTGTGCACTGGTGATAGATTGATTGGATGGTGCGTTTCTATTTCCATTTCCAATGTATAGACGTGCACAGCACCAGCACTGCATGACATCAGCGCACAGTTATGTGTGCTTTTCATTGTGCATAACACAAGCAATGTACTACTAACTTTCACATAGTCCATCCTATGATCTCCTCTTCCTCAACACCATTCCTAAGTGTGCAAATCCCTCAATGCATATTCACATGGTTACTAATCACTCGTTTAAACAGGTGATATCTACCTCAGAATCAACATCATCTTCGGTGAAGAAGTTGCCATCAAATTCAAGTCCGTAAAAGCCAACCACTCCCAGCTCGAGTACAAGCCAAAGGTCTACAAGACCCTTGCTGGCGGTGTTGGCATTCCCTTCATACACTGGTTTGGCACCAAGTGCAACTACAATGCCATGGTCTTGGACCTTCTTGGACCCTCTCTAGAGGACCTTTTCAATTTCTGCAAGCGCAAATTCACCCTCAAGACTGTCTTGCTCCTTGTGGACCAACTTGTGAGTAAATTCCACTGCAGCCACTGTCTTTGAGAACTAACGCACCACTGTATCACCACAGATCTCCTGTATTGAGTACATCCACTCACGCAACTTCATTCGCTGGGATATCAAGCCAGACAACTTTCTCATGGGCATAGGGAAGCATGGCAATCAAGTCAATGTCATTGACTTTGGTCTCGCGAAGAAATTTTATGACCCAAAGACTCACTTGCACATTCCATACAGGGAAAACAAGAATTTGACCAGTACCGCTCGCTACACCTCAATCAACACACATTTGGGAGTTAAGCACACTCACCATGATGACCTCGAGGCAAGATACTTCTTGTGTGTTGCCCTCCCTTGCCAGGGACTCAAGGCTGCAACTAAAAAGCAGAAGTATGACAGGATCATGGAGAAGAAGATGACTACTCCCATCGATATCCTTTGCCACGGCTATCCCAATGAGTTCGGCATTTTCTTGAACTACACTCATGCGCTTCGCTTTGACGATGTAAAGAGTTGATTCCTAGTGGGCTATACTAAAGGTGTTACCTTAAGACTCAAAAGTGCGAGTGAGATGTTCGTCCTAAGAGACTGCCTGTAGGATTATCTCTTGATATAAAATGCAAGGGATATCTTGTTAAGATTGAGGGTGAGAGACGGAAAGTATACCTCAAGTACGTTCAGAGTTCCGAAGAATAGTCCAAAGTGTCCGATGAGTTGTCCAAAGTGTCCGGTATAGGTCCAACGTCTAGAAACGAAGGTCCAAGGTTGTGCGAAGCTTCCGGCGAGCTTCCGATGAAACGGCAAGGTTTCCGGTAAAGAAATACGGCGGTTATTGAAGTATAGAACTTTGCGTAGTATGACTAGCAAAGTCTGTCGAGAGACTTAAGGATTTCAATAGCAAAATGGCAGCAGTGAAGCCAAACAATCGTTCTGAATGAACAAAGATTGATTGCGAAGTACTAAAATCTGGAAGTGACAACTACTAACTATGACTCGAAGCAAGGGAAGTGAAGTGCAGTGCGAGTACCTAGCGAGCCAGAATATATCCTATGACGTGAAAGTCTGGAATCTGTGTAGGCGAAAACTGTAGCGAGATAAGACATCCAAACTGTAATAAGACTCAAGGCGAGCCGCTACGAAGATATACATGTAATAATGCACGAGGAGCATATCTATACGTATTAGCAAGGGTTTTCGATGTATGTGCCCCTAGGCTTAATAAATAACAGATAATCAAATGAGAAATGCACCAGCGAAGTCAAACAGACAAGGACAGGACATGGTACAGAGGATCAGAAAAGCTAGAAAAGGCCTCAGAAATGGACGGACGACCTTTGGACAACTCAGACAAGCGCGCGGCACTTTCAGAAGATCGAAAGTGTGTCGAGGAATATAAAACATGTTTATCACCAGATACGTGTCCAACACCAACCCAAGTGTTACAACAACAAGCGCCAATCGTACAGATGCCACCTTTATCCGTGTTAATGGCTCCGTGCTTGTGCAAAAGTATGACATTAAGGGTTTGTGAATGGTGTGCAAATTGTTTGTATCATTATACACATGTAGCCGGTAACTAATCTTCCTATTAGATATCTTTCTGAGTGCATCCTTCTCCAGCTGTACTCCCCCCTTCCTCCTTCACCACATCATGCCGTCTCTTCAACATCCTACAAAGTCTCTAGAGTCTCCACAACATCAGCTTGTGCCCTTGCCCTTGCCTCCATTTGCCTTTGGAATCTGCTTGCTTTCCTTCTAACCTCCGCTTGCGCTGCTTCAACCTTGCAAGCACTCACGGGACTGCAGTACAACTATCTCGACTTAGCTTCCTGGACATCAGATACAATGACAACAACTTAAGTTATTTTGCAGACCCATCTCAATTCATAATCAATGTTGATCGTCGATATCCGATAGGTATTAGGTATGTTCAGTGGTGATCAGTAGAGTAGGTAGGTAGGAAATTCTAGGAATCATGTTGTCTCGCAAATACATCCTTTTGGGACTTTGACCCTAAGTCAAGGGCAAATGTTTGTATTTTAATCTTAAAGCTGGCTTAAGCTGGCCGAGAGACTGAAAATGTAGCTCCATGGACCAGACAAGGCCACTAATTACATAAGCCACAACTAGGTACATGGTCCAGCTTAATGTGGCTGCACCCACAGCTAAAGCTGGAATAAGCCAGAACTGCGGCAACACTACATGCGTGTGCTATCCAAAACAGAGCTCACCAAACACATATCATCCATTTCAGCAGTCACCAACCTACCTAATCTCAAAGGACACAGTATTCACATCGGAGGGACCCTAGAATATCTCCTTTGCAGGGTCCCATTTGAAGTAGTCAAAATGATGGGTCACTGGTCAAGCGACGCGTTCACACAGTACCTTTGTGATCACACCAAAGTGCTAGCACTGTATATCCAAGCAAACACATCCCTCAAGCCATTCACTTGCAATGTGATGCCCCCAGTGAGATAATTTCAAAACTCGGAGTAAGTCCACATCCTTACTGTTGTTAATAGTTTGTTTATTGGTATGTCGAGTACCAGCTTACCTAATCACGCAAGTACATAGTCACATTAGAGTTACTCACACCTCAGTCCGCTACACTACAAGTACGCGACTGAGGTAAGACATTCATTACTATAGTTCATTCCTTTACTAACTTCACTAGTATACACTCGTTTTATCTAGGTTAGTATTAGTCTGCTACACTACGAGTACGCGACTGAGTATACACTCATTTTATCTAGCCTTCCATTTTTTCCCGCACATCGCAACTTCAAACAAAACTTACACTAGTACGGGCCATAAGCTTCACTGTTTGCATCGTAGACTTCCTAATTTTATGTGATTCACAGCTCATCTTTTCTCCCAGGATCGGGTCTGGTGTTTCGGTCCAGAAAGCCCTGTGGGCTTTTGCCCACATATTCAATACTAGTACCTTTCAAGAACATTCTCTTTATCAGATCACACCGTACTTCTCAACTGCCAGTATTACAATTCCTTTTCTCTCTCTGATTGGACACATAGTATCAATATGCATAGATTAGATATGAGACACCATTAGATTTAGGATATTTTCCCCCAATTTGCCTAAATGTCATATCACAAACATGTGTAAAATTTGATATTCAATTCTACTGCAGTACAGATTCCATCACCAATGTAAAATATTTCTGTGGATATGATACCAATCTGTCCTGCAGACAGATTCTGTCCTGCCTCAGGTGTAAAGTACTACAGCACAGGCTCTCGCCCCTAGTTAGTAGCAAACATCCGATAGCGTCACTGTTACTAATAAGTAATGTTTATGGTGACACAGGGGGGGAAATCCCACATCCCAAAATGGGACGAGGTTCGCGCGTCACGTGAGTCACGTGGCGCGACCTCGCCCGATATGGTGCGCCCAGGCATAAATTTCACGAGCTAAGTTCTATTTATGATCCTATCTACCCCTATTAACAGTTCAACAGGCCCCGCGGCCCCCCTTCCTTGATCCTGATATCATACACTGTCGCACCTATGAAAAGATAGGTTACAATTGCAGGACTGAATTTCAGTTACTTCCGAGTCAGACTTCAGAATGATGGTATCTTGGCACACATACTATTGTTACATTTGTACCGTATTACATGGTGTAGTTTAATTCCAGAAATCAATGGACTATATTCCGATGCTGGTTGAAGAAAAAATTGACAATGCATACATGGTAAAGTACATCAAGCTTGTGTCCGCAAGATTAACGGTGGGTAAAGGTATCAGATCTCATATGGTATATGCGGTAAGTATTGTACACATTCTATTTTATTCCATCGGTTCTACCAAACACATCTCATCGAAACGTAGAGTTACAGTAATTGTAGGGGTGATACTAATATCAGCAAGATTGTTCTTGATGCTACATTTCGTGACGGTTCCGATCAGCCCGCGATGAGCCCCGGCCAGAATAAGACACTTCTGATTCTTCTTACGTGGAGGGGCAGGGCTCAGATACATGGCGGGAATGTGATAGTGTTTCATTTTTGCGCCCACATTGTTGGATGTGCAGTATGCTGCAACACATCCCTCTGGTGCAGGTCCATTCTCGCCACAGAACGGGTCAGGACAAGGTGTAGATACAAATTGCTTGGACAGCGATACATCAAAGATCGGTGAGACCTTTAACATTGCATGATGGTTGAAAAATGTCGAAAAAAACTCCTTTGTCATCAACCAAGCTAGCGGGCCTGTAATAGAATAAGCAAAGCCTGCAATGGCTCCTTTTGGCACTCACCACTGTCTGAGAGTTTCTCTGCTCCGACGTCAATATTGTCTTGAGTATCGAGTTTATCAACAGTCCACGGGTCGGATGTTGATGTGTTTGGATTAACGCTCAACGAAGGATCTTGAGTCACATTAGCATCACCCAAGCTTGCAGACCAGGTGGACCACACACCAGATGACGAGGGAATGGGTTCCATGATGGAAGTGGAGGAGCTGGAGGGGATTTTTTTGTAAGGTGGTGTGGTGCTCCGACATGGCGGTGCCAAGTACAATTTTTTCCGCATGACGCAGAACGAAATCAACTCTGGGCCTTCAAGCATCGCCCCGTTTAGCCGCATTCCATACCTAAAGTCGCAAATATGTGAATCGCTGTAGAAATAGAAATATGAGTGCTACTCACTTGGTAACAACATCACAAAGTTTGACTGTGATACACTTCTGCCCATGAATAGCGACAGTGCAAGCCTCGACGCCAAGACTATAGAGTGTGGCTCGATAGCCCTTATGGCCACCTCCAATGATGAAAACTTCTTGACCAATATCCTTCTTGAAAGAGTCAAAGGCGGCGTTGCGCACTTTCATAACGAATCCAATTGGAACATTGATCTATCATAATGTCAGATATGCTTCAGTAAAGATGATGATACTTACCAGCGTGTGATCACCGTCGCACAGCACGGACAAGTGAGCGTTTGGAAAGTCTATGCTTTGCACAACGCCTTTCGCTTCATACTCGGGCCCACGGACGACAGTCACGATGTCTCCAGGTCTGACGTCATAACCCCTTTCCTTCGTGTATTGAATTGTTGCAGTCAGGTCCATCCGCTGAACTATTGCTATGGGAACCGAGAGACTTGACAATCCACCACTGGACTCGATGCTTTCCGTACTCAAAATATCCCGGAACCATAGTTTGTTGTCCCCCTTAGCAAGCCAGTCCACGACTCCGCGCTTCCCCATGTGCTCACCGTCCAAGACTTCTATGAAATCTCCTATTTGAATGGAGTCCAACTCGGAAGGTTCGAAATCTTGCTGCATTGGGAACCGTGAGTGCACCGTGTGGTTCAACGGACGTTGATCTAAGTAGTACTTAGACACTTCCACCTGTGCACTAAGTGTTAGACGGTTGAAATAAAATTATACCAGAGATATACCTGCTCGTTGGTAGCATGTTGACAAAGGTGAAACGTGTCACCGCATATTTGAACGATATGGCCTTCCAAGCCCAAGTATGAACCAGCCACCACTCTTACAGTATCGCCGACTTGAAAGATCCGTTCAATGTCTTTGAGTCGAACTTCCATCTCCTTGAGACGCCCATCGAAAGCCGATTGCAAACTTAGGGTCCCCAAAGTATGATCAGTTGAGACGACCTGACCAAGCTCTCCACGAAGAGAGCCTTTGACGACTCTCGCCCAATCGCCCATGCGCAGGAACTGCAGCGAAAACGCGACCACAGTTTCGTTCAAAAACAGTTGATTCCATCCGGCGTCCAGGTGTAGCCGAATGTCGTCGACATGAGGGGATGCGACGAGTTCTAGTCTGTCGCGGTGAAAGTTCTTGAGCAGCAGGCCCATGTAGTAGCTTTCTCCCTTGTATTTCCATCCCACGACTTCATCATCGCGAATGATGTCGGAAACGCTCTTCTGGTTCGGAAGGAGAGATTGCTGGATAAGCGCTCGAGATCCTGAAGGCATGGAATAGGGGAAATCGCGCGCAACAATTAAGACTGTGACCAGACCATTCGGCAGTTGCTCGAAAACTTGTGCGATGTCGCCCCTGTACTTACTGCCCTTGATCCTCACCCATGCTTGTTGAGGAAACTTGGACTGCGTGCGTTCTACCGCTTCACATTCTTCCTCGGCAATATGGGAGTACTCTTTCACGGCGAGATAAAGAGATAGGGGCAAGGACTTTGCAATCGTCGTGGGGCTATCCGCCACCACGTAAAGCTGTCCTGCTGACCAGGCTGACACGATCACGGGAAATTCCTTCCTCCGAAGGTGGTCAGCAACATATTGAGTGGTAGTCCCTACGACACAATGAGTGATATATACGTCTTTTTTGAAAAAGAAACAGAACAAAAAACCCACTTTGAACATGAAGTAAATACATCCTGCTTTCGGGACTTCTGTAGGCGAGATTGTCTTCAGATGAGCTGGGCAAATGTTGTTTGAACCAAGTCGCCATGTCGTCAAAGGTTGCTGCCAACCTCCGTTTCGTCGACGTTCCTGGCAAACTTGTGACTATCGGCGACTGCATAGAAGGTCCATCCCAATCTTCTCCATCATACTCCTCTTCCTCCTCTTCATCATCACCAACATCGGCCTTATCAGCGATGAACTTAGAAGCAGCCTGAATTTATCGTTCAATTTATAAATGTTTCAGCCACGACATTCACATACTTTGGATAACTTGCGCGATTTTTGAGCACGTGAACTTGACGAGTAGCCGTTCCTCCTCGATGCAGGGATAGAAACGGAAGACTTTTCTGGTGGATTGGGTATGTGAGTTTTCCACAGCTTGGTGAAGTTTTCTAAGGATTTGGTGTTATCTTCGTCACCGGAGAAGAGCAGGCGTCGAGGCTCTGCCCATTCATCTGCTAAGTATCGGTCGCCGAGGTATGCTATGTGCGCGTCGTCTACCTCGGATAGAGACATTGATGTGGTGAGGAATTTGGCAAGGATTTCCCATGCACCGTTATCGTACAGTGCCGGTGGTACTGCCTGGTTCGCTGTATCGTACTCATGAATAACTCGAATATTAACTATACCGAAGACGACTTACCTTGGATGTCAATCGAGCAGTGACGCTTTGAGGGCGGTTCATCGCCACCAGATCTGGCGCATTTGGACATTCTAGTATAAGGTACGTCAACTTAGAGTTACAGCAAACTTGAACGTTAACATGACATACTGTTACTGGTGATAGTCTACGTTATTTGTATATACGAACTATCGTGCTAATACTAAGTGTGTTCGAGGTTGTGATAGGAAAAAGAGAACCTGTTAATGCGCAAGGTCGGTATATATAGTGAATCACTATTTGGATTAGCTAATACTTACAGACGGTGGTACGAATTAATCGTGGTCAGTTGTGGTTGTGGATCATGACGCTGCATTGTCTTATGTCACGGTGGTCACCCGACATTGTGGACCGGTGGGCGTAGGCATCAACTATTGTGAGGTGCGCACAGACCACAAATACTACCCTACAAAATCACATTCAAGCTAAGTGTAAAGTAGGTACGTATACTACTTAACCCTAATGATTACTATGTTGGCAAACAGAAAGAAGACAATTGGTACGCACACACGGTACATAAAGTGAATGATCCGATATTCAGACCCAGCCGCCAATTCCCGATCCACCGTATATTCGAATTCATTGTTGCGGGCGTTGCCGGCTGAGTTTGAATAAATAGTTGTTCACTATATCAGGGTGTTCCTTGCTTGAACTTAACTCTTTTTCCCCAATGTCTGTCTCAACATAACGGAATGTGTTATCCCTTACTATATTGTCATAATTGTATTGCCTTAAGCCTCACTCTACTACATCTTCAATTATTTAAATTACTTTATTATATGTTCATACATTGTAGATGTTGTCGTCCTTAAGTCGACATTTACTTTGTCCTTGAGATCTAATGTTCGGGCACTGATATCAATCATAGTTCGTATATTGTAGTGAATAGAGTGTGGTATACAGGCTCGGTGCCTAGCCCCTGAGATCATCACCCGTTTGACATAGAAATCGTAAGCGTATCCTTCGTTATGCAACCCAATTTTGATTTTGACATAGATATCACATACGTCCGTGCAGGTGTGCCCTTGTAGATCACAGCGACGCTCTCAGTTCTGAGCCTTCCTCCTCCAAACTGAAGAGTTCTGGACAGAAGGCAGGAGAAGCCGCACCTTCTGGAATCTGACCTAGGTTGGGCACAACGACGGAATCAGGCATGCAACGCTCGAGGTTCTCGGCACGGTAGTAATCTTCCAGCCATTTACGCCTGTATGTCCCCACCCGTTCCAAAAGGTAAGTAATGTGAATTTCCGCGTTCTCTAGTTGTTCCTTGACACGGCGCAGCTCAGATTCTAATCCGCTTATGGATTCTTCGTCAGTACCTAGGCCATGTTTTTCAGACCCACCATATGGTTTCACAATTCAATTGTGAAATCTCACCTATCGTCTGAGTTTCTGAATCAATCAATCTTTTTGTTCCTCCAAGGAGTTGCCTGTAGTAACGTTGGTTTTGAGTTGTTTTCTATAACGCTTCATTACTCACTCAATTCCACGCAGCCCATCTCCCTCTGTGTTTCGCAGTGTATGCAGTGGAGAAAATTGGAACCTCGAGGTAACTTCATGGGTTTGCATCTCGTGTACATACTGAAAAGCTTACTTTAGTGTGATATCGCTTCCAACATGGACGCATTGTCGCAAATTCTCTTGAAGGGGTGAACTGGGCATTGGAGGAGGTTCAAAAGCTGCAATAGCAGTTGCACTTCTATAAATATATCTTTATCACAATGATGGCGCGTGAAGTTGCGCCATCCTCTTTTTACGTACTTCGAAGGCTCGTTTAAGCCCTGTCGTTTGCCATAGATTACGACATCTATGGCGCTCGGATGGCAAGGGCTTTGTTTGAAAAAAAACAGGATGGCGAGGTTAATATATACATATTGATGGCATATATGTTTGGGTATATAAAGGCCCTCGTTCACTGCCGATTTTCAGAGCCAACCTACCTTCAATTCATGAGTGGTGACGAGAACAATCCTTCTCCCGGAAATTCTACGCATAAGCGTAGTGCTTCGGCGCTACACACGGGCCTGTGTAAAAAGGCGCAAGTGTTCTTTTAAGCGGTAACCCACTGACATACTGACTCGGTCTTCATCAGCAATTCATCAAATCCCCTGGTACTTCACGGCCGACACTTTGGTCGGACTGTATTTGCCCTTTGTAATTTCCCTGCTCTTCTGACTGCCGGTATACTACGACTTGAAGAATTACAGGACACCCTCATCGAGGATTATCCAGCAGAGTGAGTTCAATTTGATCTTTATCTGTTACAAGGACATCAATTTTTTTAATGTAGTGTCCGACGCGAACATAGGGTGTTCATAGAATTAATAGATTCCTATCCTGGTCTTTTAGCTCGTCTAACGGATGGCGAGGAGGAGGATATTATTCACATGGGAGAATTAGTAAGTTTTCATTCTACAATATCTTCGTACTCATCGTTTGCAGCTAGGTAAAGGAGCATCTGGTGCGCGAGGTGACGATACCAAGACCCTTAAATCTGCTGTCCTGGAATGGCTTATGCCCAGAGGACAGCCACTTATACCGCCCCTCTCCCGGAATATCAAATCGGACCGTGGGTTCAATCATGAAGTTACCGGTAGGTTGCTCTGCCCTGCCGGCCTTGACTGGTCAGATGTAGAGTAAGTATTTCCACCATTATATCAATTGTCTATTATAATGCTCCTCAGAACCAAACAGAGTTTGAAGAGCGGTGAAACCGCAGTTAGCGGTGACCAATGGCCCATGTTCTTATACTCTGGGTACCACTATGATCCCGATGATCCATGGAAGGGCTTACTCAGGAGCGAGATACTAACTTTTGTAAGCTCGTTTCAAATCGCTGATAAATTTCTTACTTCGAGCAATATAGGGGTTCAAACATGTTTTTACGTCTCCAAGCTCGGTGGATAAGGAGCCCAAGGCTACGTGCTCCGGCAACGCTTACCTGCATGGTATGAAATCTGTCACTAAAGGCTCTCTAGCTTATGTTGCTACACAGGTACGCAAATTAATTGTGCATGCCTTCTGCGGCTGATTTTATCTTCAGATTCGGTTTGCCTTAAGTTCATCATCAGTATTTTCCCGTACCGACACGGTCATGGACTTGGAAAAATTTTATCATAGCATTCTGGATTTACTAGAGGATCCTGACGAAATTGAGGAGGTTAATGACCTGATGACGTGGTGGACACGGTTCGTAATGCACCTTTTCACCTCTAAGCTGTCTAAATTCACATCTTTCATAGTTGGGTATTTCCTAATTCTTCTTCCTCTCAGCGCAGTATCAGCAAAAACAGCGCGCTGGCCAAGATTCGGGAAAAACATGCTGCCTTGCGAGAACTAGCCGCTGCCGAGATCAATTAGTTATTTACTGTTTTGTAACTGTATTATTTTGTAATGTAATTGATGTATACTTGCTATGTGACTAAAACACCCCTGAATTAATGCAGTAAGAAAACTGAGCATTAGAAGCCTTCTTCATGAGATTTTCTGGCATCAGAAGCTCCCCCTGTAACAGTAGACATGCTTGACAGAAAATCCTCAGCTTGATAGCCTAATGTAAGACAATAGCATGTCCTGGCACACTGTGAGTGATTACAGAACCTGCCACTGGAAGTCACCCATGTAACAGTAGTTGTGCCTAATATAAGATCAACAATTTGTTATAGCATGATAACACAATATCATGTGCTGGCACACTGTCAGTGATTGTAAAGCCAGACATAATGGATAGATAATCAGCACCTTGCTGCGATATGATAGCCTGGTGCCATATACTGACATCTTGATAAGGTATCATAAGTCAAGATCGTGGCCTAACACTTTGTCATCAGCGGTGGCTTCTAACATCACAGCCCGCCCCTATAATGGCAGACATGCTTTATATGACACAATAACCTAATATCGCTCCAGGGCACACTGTCATCAATGGTGGCTTCTGCAATCAGAAGCTGCCTATCCAAAGCCAGACATATCTGGCTGAAAAACAGCATCTTGATATGGTATCATAAGCCAAGATCATGGCCTAACACTTTGTCATCAGCGGTGGCTTCTAACATCACAGCCCGCCCCTATAATTGTAGACATGCTTTATATGACACGATAACCTAATATCGCTCCAGGGCACACTGTCATCAATGGTGGCTTCTGCAATCAGAAGCTGCCTATCCAAAGCCAGACATATCTGGCTGAAAACTGGCATCTTGATAAGGTATCATAAGTCAAGATCATAGCCTAACACTTTGTTAGGTCAATATCATTGTCAAGCACACTGTTGATGATTACATGTTCTGCCATTGGAAGCTAGCCATGCAATAATAGACACATCTTCCAACAATACACCAGTGTGCTAGTAAATCACAATTTTGTACCATAGGTCTGTCAATATTGTGGCTTTGGGAGATTTCACCAACGTAAGCTGCCTATCTATTGATTTATCATATGATCTACAATTGTGATATATATTTTCAATATTATACATTAAATAAAGCTAGCTAAATCTTTGTCAAACTCAAGTCGATTACCTGATGCAAATACCACAACACCAATCCAATTACATATGGTGTACATAATCCAGCCTGACGAATCCAGTCAGTGATCGGCCTCGGGTAGCACACTCCAAACAGACTCACATCTGTGGCAGTATAGCACGGCAGTCATTAGTGAACCAAGAATTTAGCAAAGAACCACACCCACTGCTACAAGGCACCACAGTTAATTAGAGGGGAATAGTAATAGACATCTGTGCAGAAGACTCACCGTATCAGTCAACGAGATAGTCGGAACATTGACTGTATGTCGTTGGTCAGAAGAGGCAAAGACAGCGAATGTACTAAAGAGACATACTTGGTATGTACAGGCTGATTGTGAGAGATAGACGATTAGCACAACACCAATTGTGTAGCCATCTGAACATACACAGCAGATAAGATTCCAAGGTAACGCGCCTAGGATACTTTCAAGTCAGTACAGCATAGCAACTGCGACAAACAAGCTACATACGCCGAGATACATAGCTGTCATGATGGACCATCGTTGTCGCTGGAATCAAGTGTATTTTTATGTGTTCCTCTGACACCAGACTCTACTCACCCAGATCAATTCCACCTATAAAGCCGTTCTCAGCGAGATGGCCGCTCCGGTCATACCATCGACATACCTCTTGTCCAAATGTGAGTGCTGAAAATAATCGTAAGACGTCAGCAGTCTTATAATATTATCAGGCTCACCCCAATCATACATCACTGCAACAAAGGCGGCGACTGCGAAACCACAGCCAAGGATTAGATTGACTCAGCTTCAACATCCGACTGCTCTCCACGAACCTACAAAATAGCTGTCCAAATGATATGTATTGATGGCCGGCCACCAACTGGGATCATTTGAGACTACAATCATATTGGTAGAGAATGGGTGTGGATGAGAGGCAAACTTTGTAGACGTATGTCAATAACATTCACGGTATCATATATATGTATACCGCTATCCAGTGCGAAATGAGATTAAGGGGTTAAATCTGTGCAATCCATGTAGATGAGGCAGTTGCATGATAACCAGGCTGTCGTATCATAAGGATGCTAATCAGAACAGTACATCTTCCATTTGCAACGTGGATGTGAAAGTCGACGAGCAGTAATTACAGCAATTTGCAAAATGGTTTGCACTATCAGACATGAGGCAAAGACTAGAAAGTAAAATACTTCGAAGCGCAAGACTGAAGAACCTAGCGCAGCCAATAGTCTCATGTTCCTCGATATTGATGGTATGGTGGAGGACTGATACTGGTCACACGTTGTATTGTCTAGATTTCAGATCCAATGGTACTCATTTGATAGCATTGGACAAATTTTAACTGCCTGAAAATCATGTTCTGCTTGACGCAAATTCTGTTCTGATTGGCGAAAAGTGAGATCCAATTGTCGAAAATTCTCAAGGGACTAAAATAATGGATCGAATGTTCAAATCCATCGGATTCTCGCAGATTCATGCAAGTTGTATCATATTTCATCCGATTTGAGAAGAGCATTTTTCCTGATGTCGCGTCTCGCGACTGATCTTGCGGAAGTTCCGGGCACAACAACTTGTTAACATATACTATTTGGAGATGACCTGAAGAAAGGCAAACACACCTATTACACGTGTACTAGCGAAGAACGTTGATCGAGTTTAATTTTCTTTATACAAGTCTTATTGGTCGATATGATTGTGCGGGCCTATTACAGCTGGATCTGGAGTGTATCATATGGTGCGGAACGTGGAATCATATCACTGAAAATTTGAGCTAACAACGTTCCAAGTGAAATGAAGCTCAAGCGCTCAAGCTTCATTATAGGTGGGAAAAGAACAATACCTTCACATGATGTGTCCGGCTTTGGTTCGTGTTTTGTCTTATTCTTCTTCTGCATACTCATCGTCTGGGTTATCCATGACACCCATCATAATCACTGCAAGCATCGGAGCCCATCAATTAACACATGGTCAACATTACAGATGCTGACCGGATTATCGTTGATAACGGGAACGAAGACGCCCTACGACCGCTCCGAATTGATGACCGAAGCGGCCTCACCCCATTTTCTACAGGCCCATAAAAGATACCATAGTGTCAGGTATTCATGACATCCCCTTCTTCAAGTAATGCCTCAAATCTCCAAGAGTATCACCACGAACTATAACATTCTCATACGCACGTTCTAAATCTGCAGTTTGGAATCAATCTAACGTCGATGACATCTTAGCCGCATGCTAGCTACATTGAAAGACTCACATCTCCCGGCTCGACCTTGCTATCATGCATGTCTATTCCTGGGTCTCTCGTCAGCGTTTTGAACCACGTCAGCAGGCTGTTTTATGTTTCATATGCGATTCCCAAACGTTGGCATCCTGGATTCCTTCAAATTTCTCTCACTCCACGGATGCGCTGGGTCTCAGCTAAAGAATCGTAGCCTTCATATCACAAATGTTCAACACGGTACTTGTATTTCCAAGTAGTGCTTCAGCAACAATCCCAACACATCTGCATCCGTATCCGTATTTCCACCCATCTAACAAAAGTGAAAGTCAAAGCTCCTCCGCAAGCATTAACCAACTTCAGCCTCCTCAAGACTCACCAAGTGTGCCTCGCATCATCAAGCTGCGCATGCACAAACGTGCTTCACGCACCTTGTAATCACCTTAAATGGATTGTTGCATCATCTGTAAGCCAGTTGGCGTGAGTCAGGTGAAAAAACAAGGATGGGACATTGAATAAGGCGAGAGGATGAATCAAATATGGATTGCTAAGGAATTAAAGTTGTGCGCTGTCCTAAGCTGTCCCTCGACTTTCCTCTCACGTGCTGCCTAAGCAATCATATGAATGGTTGTCATCGCACAAGGGACATAAGAACAAGTGGTTGGTGTAAGTGTGAGTGAACAGCCAGTGCCAATAGAGATATTCATGGATTTAAACATTACCAGCACATAAAGCGAATCACTTGACTTGATAATATTAATGCAACGAAAACTTTGTATGTCTCCTTGAAATCTACATCAGAACACCAGATAACTTGGATTAATACCTTCAAGAAAGTGTGAATAAATAGAAACGAAATCCCCTGCTCCTTGCAGAGCACTAGACAACTGTTAACTTCACCTCAAACACCATTGCCAGTCGATATTTGCACATGCTCCTGGAAAGCAATCGAGGTCATACCAGTCGCTGCGTCAGAATGGGCCACAAGCTTAGCGTGGTATTCCCGAACACCAAGGATCAGGTGCAGGTCCCAGCACAGACATCTGCACGACCTCCAAAATCTGAAGAAGCCCAGAAATAATATTAGCGTCCAGAAAATTGTCCTATAGAAATGATAAATTGTGGTAGCAGTGCATAGGTAAGGGAAAGATTGACATACTATTGATAATTTTGGAGAGAAAGCAAGAATGAGATGGAAGCAAGAAACGGCAACAAAGCTACCTCATCCGACCCTTCAGTGGTAAAAGGAACAATAATCACAATATGAACTTACCTCGCAAAGTAAACCACGTGAGTTTTTATCAACGCCGTGAAACAGTCCTCGATGATCCCTCCTGCCGAATGTTGTCGCAATTCACGGAAGTATTTTACCACAATCCAGACTGCGAGACATAGTTGCGAGACATAGTGCAGTATCCTTCTGGATCCTTGATCATAGCATGCAATCGAGTGATGATGATGACTTGCAGCATGTTTCAGTCAGTCAATATTACTGAGGTCTCGGAAGTACAAAGCTCACCCCAAAGCATTACAAATACCACAACAACCATCCAATCCCATACGACGAACATAATAAAGCCTGACGAATCTAGTCAGTAACCAGCCTGGGGTAGTTCATATTCCAAACAACTCACATCTGTGGAAGTATAGTGTGGTAGTCATTCAGTGAACCAGGATGTCAGTAAAGAACCGCACACACTGCTACAGGGCACCACAGTTAGTTGAATTCAGGGATGGTAGGCATCTGTGCAAAGGACTTACTGTATCTGTCAGCGAGATGGTCGGAACATTTTCTGTACGCTGTTGGTCAGAAGAAGCAAAGATAGTGGATGGCTAACGAGATATACGCAGTATGTACAGGCTGATTATGAGATATAGACGATTAGCACAACACCGATCATGTACCCTTCCGAACATACCCGGATGATTCCAAGGTAGCGCGCCTAGGATACTTTCAAAGTCAGCACAACATGGTAACAGACAAATAAGATACATACACCGAGGTACATGACTGCCATTACAGACCAATGTTGTCTCTGGAATCAAGTGTATGTTCATGTGTGTTCCTCTGACACCAGACTCTACTCACCCAGATCAGTTCTACCTATAAATGTTACAGTTCTATCTTTTCACTTCTTCACATTGTCACATATGCTTACTCATCATTCCATAGTATTCTATTACATTCCATCGTACGATTCTCTTTCTCTTTTTCCTATTCGCTATTCATATTCAAGCTCCGCTTCAATACTCTTATATATACCTTACTCTTTATGCTTTGTATCTTTAACTTGACCTACTGCAGACCAGGGCCTGCAATCTAGCTTCATCTTCACTAGAACATTGACTTTGACTTTGAACTTTGAACGTTAAGACGTCTAACCAACGCCAAGCGTAACAAAAGGTCAAGTTAACATCTCTAGGCACCGTTACTTGTAACAGGTGCACGAACCCAGAACACACGACGTCTCGTCTAGGACAGTATCCACCAGGTTTTACCTGGAGCGACTCTAGACAAACCCTAGTCAAGACAGAAGACGATGACACTTGGACTATAGCTGAGTGGAAAACTTATTACGACGGATTAGCGCCCCAAGGACAGCGCTGGAACTTTTGGACTGAATCTTACGAAGATATACCAGCCCCTCCCCCACCAAACCCAACCACCACCGACACCACCGACTCAGAAGACGAAGATATGCCTAAAGAAATCGGCTCTCTTCCCGAGGTCTTCAATGGAGACACTCGCAAGGCCACCGCTTGGTCTTTACAGATGGAAGCATACTTCCTCCTCAACGAAGAGGTATATAACCAGGATAAGAAAAAGATCATCCTCACGTTAAGTAGGATGACGAAAGGAGAAGCAGCCAAGTGGGCTGAAGGTGAACTAAAGAGGGCGACCATGGACGCCTCAGTCTTCAACTCTTACGAAGACTTCACTAAGAAATTCAAAGCCACTTTCTACCCCAAAGAACATCGTCAAACAGCCATGAGGCGTATTTCCACCATCAAACAGACCGGCAGTGTCCCTGCCTACGCATCACTATTCCGCACCATCCTAGCCGATACCGGCATAGAAGAAGAGAACACGAAGATCCTGTTCTTCCGCACCGGCTTAAAGCATGAGCTAGTCTTCGCTATCCTAACCCTCGAGAATATCCCAGACACCATCGATGGATGGCTTAGTAAAGCCCTCGACTTCGAGGTAAGGAGGACGCTCATGAACCCGCCAAGCATGGGAAGGGCAAAGGATCCCTACGCTATGGATATAGATAAGATGGAGGCAGGAGAAGACGATGATGGTGAGAAAAGTACGAGGAAGACTTACCTCACGCCACAAGAACGTGACTGCAGGCACAAGAACGGCCTTTGCTTCAAATGCGGAAAGAAGGGCCTCGCTAAAGACTGCCCGAACCACCCTACGGTAACTACCGCTAGGAAGACCCAGACTAACTCCGCATCTAGTTCCAAGAAGGACGATGCCGAATACCAGGAGTTCTTGGAATGGAAGGCGTTTAAAGCACGCCAGGTAAAGAAACCTAAGAAGAAGGAAGAATCCAACGAAGAAGAGGATTTTTAAAGCGGAGATCTGCACCGGTGTCAGATTCTCCTAGAGTCACTGCAGGCATTTTCCCATGTTCCTCCACCAAACATCTAAAATACATTG